GAGTGAAAGTTTCCCCGATGAACTACTATTTGTTATTCGTCTGGATATACCTTGGTTTGCTAATATTGTCAATTATTTGGCTAAGGGTGTGGTGCATCTAGATTTTTCCTTCCAGCAGAAAAATAAGTTTTTATCTGATGTAAAACTATTTCTCAGATGAACCCTACTTATACAAGTATTGTCCAGACCAGATTATTCGCATGTGTATTCCTGAGGCTGAACAGGAAAGTGTTTTAAAGTTTGTTCATCATTATGCATGTGGGGAACATTTTGGGCAGAAAATGACAGCAGATAAAATCTTACAGAGTGGGTTATTTTGGCCAACAATTTTTAAAGATTCACAGAATTGGTGCAAGGCTTGTGATAGGTGTTAAAGAGTCGGCAACCAATCCATAAGGAATGAGATGCCCCAGCAAAGTATCCTAATTGTTGAATTATTTGATGTTTGGGATATTGATTTCATGGGATCGTTCCCATCTTCTAATGGGAACAAATATATTTTAGTGATTGTGGACTATGTTTCAAAGTGGGTCGTGGCCATTGCAGCACCAACTAATCAAGGATCAGTAGTCCTGAAGTTTCTTAAAGGGGTTATATTTCCACGTTTTAGAATTCTGTGCATTATTCTTAGTGATGGGGGGAAGCATTTTATTAATAAACCGTTTGCTAACCTACTGGCAAAGTATGGGATTAATCATGGCATGGCTACACCTTACCACCCACAGACATCTGGTCCAGTCGAAGTTTCAAATAGAGAAATCAAGGGTATTTTGGAGAAAACAATTGGTTCTACACGCAAGAATTGGAGTTTAAAGTTAAATGATGCTTTGCGGGCATACATGGCAGCTTATAAGACTCCTATTAGGATGTCACCATTTCGACTTGTTTGTGGGAAAACATGTCATCTACCTATGAAGCTGGAGCATAAAGCTTACTAAGCCATTAAAGAGTTAAATTTTGCAAATGATTTAGCAGGAGAAAAACAAAAATTGCAGTTAAATGATCTAGAGGAAATTCGTCAAGGTGCTTATGACAGTTCTCGCATCTACAAGGAAAGAACAAAGGCATTTCATGACAGTCAAGTTTTACGGAAAGAATTTCAACCTGGGCAAAAGGTTCTGTTATTCAGTTCAAGGCTCAAGTTTTTTCCAAGGAAATTAAAGTCTAGCTAGACTGGACCCTATCTGGTGACTCAAGTCTTTCCTCATGGGGCAGTTGAAATAACTAATGAGTCTAAAGGCAACACATTCAAGGTAAATGGTCACATGTTGAAACCATACGTGGAGTTTCCCTTTGACACTGCATACGAGTCTTTGACTCTGAAGGAACCAGTGATCTGATCACCAGGCTTCTACAATGTCTAGCTACAGACTTAAAATAAAGCGCTTATTGGGAGGCAACCCAATTTTTCTAAACTCTTTACTTCTTTTATTTTTTTATTTAAAAAAAACAAAAAACAACAACAAAATAAATATATATATTGTTGTATGTCTTTACCTAGTTTATTTTATTTTTCTCATATTTCTACTTCTGACACATATTGATTCAATGTAGGACACAACAATCAGCAGCAAGCATCAAAAGCAGAAAAATCCTATACTCGAATCATGCACCTAGCAGCAAGTCTGCGTTAACATCAACCACATCTACATTATGCTGGAATTTAAAGCAATTAACATAAGCTCACTCAAAGAATGCAAGTTTTGCAGTAGTTAGGCAGATCCAGTTTAGACACACCATTTTGAGCACTTAAATACATCTCTTAAATACTAGATTTACACCCACAAAACTTGCAAGATTCAAAAATACCTTTGAGCTGCATCCTGCCTTTTGTCCATTGGATCTCCAGTTTGAGCATTCTTTCTCTCAGATCTGATTGTTCTGCACAACATACCACATCAGTATCGTTCCATGTAGGGGATGATGGGGCAACATTTTCGAACAAATGGGGGTTCCTCATAACACAGTTTTTACCTTTGCAAGACTCGGATCTGCTAGGTCTTCGTTGGCCTTCGTTTTCCTCGTCATTGTTACACTTCCAGATCGAGGACATGTGCACACAAACAAGACATACCTCCATATATTCAATTGATCTGAGACAAACACTAACATCGGTTCATCAATAGCAAGGATGAGTGTTTATACCTTTCAGATTCATAGATCAAACACTTCGAGATGTCTCTTGCACTTTCCCAATGGATCTGAACTTTGAGCACACTATCTACCTCTGTCCGCGATCTGTTCCTTGAGCCTCACTTCTCCTCGGATCTGTCAATGCTTTGAGTGTCCTCACATGGATGAAAACACGTGTGGATTTACCTTTTCCACTCTTACTCCATCATGGCTGACTTTGAATTTTTACAGAGCCACAATTTGAGTATGAGAAAAATGCCGAAGATGAAGGCTTCGGTTTTTGGTTTTGGAGATGAGGGGGAATTAGCTTAACGGTGGTTTTGAGCTGTGAGCAGATTGTGCGGTTTTGAGGAAAATGAATAAAGAGAGGCGTATGGGGTCCTGAGAGAAATGACTAATGAGAGCAGGTTTCTGATTTTGACAGAGAAAGGCGTGGCATGTATGGACATATGCAAGCCAACCCATGTGAGTTCTGACGAGCAAATGGACAAAGAGAGCCGTTGGCTCTGGGCTCTAGTCAAAAGTCCATTTGATTATGATTTTTTTTAAATAAAATGACATGGACCCAGTCGTTAACATCCTTTCTCTATTATCATTCAAATGATGTGCCAATTTCATACAAGTAGGCTCACGACCAAGGTCTAAAATATCGATAGTCCAAAAATACGAAAATTTCTATGAAATATCGGGATATTATCGATATCGATAAAAATTGAATAAAAACCACGGAAATTGTAAGAAAAACTTGGAAATTTTTATTGAAACTTTGGAGAATTCTTATTTAGTCAATTATCTATTAGTTTATCACAAAAAATTAGAAGGAAATGCATTGCATGATGGATTTAACTAATTTAAGTTGATTATATAGCGAGCTGACAAACATTGTGAGTGTAGAAAATATGTAGTAATTAATGAAAGAAGATTAAACACACCACAATCATTTATATATAATGATTTACTACAATATTTTACATTTTATACATTGCATGGTAAGATACATAAGTGACTTAGTACCACATAGAGTTCCTATGAGGTTCAAATTTTTCACTATCTTCATCATCTGTATGTGTAGAGTAAGGGTATTGTGAAGAGTAGTCATCAAATGATAAATCCCCAAAATAGTTTTGCACGTAATTATTAACATGCCACCCATATGGATCCGAGATTGGTTGACGTTGTCCATGAGCAAAATCATTTGAAGATTGAGTCTCAGATTCTTTCCATGAGTTGCTCGATTCCATCCCAAAAGGAATGGGATATGAAGGGTAGGGAAATGGTTGGTTATGAGTATAATCATAGTTACTACTTCCCACTCCAACAGAGTCTGAAGTTATAGATAACGAATCATCTTCTTGACTTGACAAAATCGCCTTGCCTCTTTCTCTACGAGTATAGTCCTTCCCTATGGCACCAATTCCTGGTCATGCCCGCCTACTCCTATGGTCCTCATCTTGTGTTGCATACGTGAAGTTTGCCTTACCAGTGAAGGGGCTCATAAATCCGGCGGTCCAACATAGTTTCCATATCCACCACTACCTCCAACTTCATTATGTTCTTCACCATTCCCACCTCCAGTGGTAGGCAAGTCTCCTGACCTTGTACTAGAGCTATCATTAGTATCAGCATAATCTTGTGGTTATGTAGGATTGGAAGAAGGAGGAATTCCTCTATTTCTTGGTCTTGGGCGCAAAAGTTCTTCCAAAGAGTCAGCGCTACTAGATCCCACCTCCTCCTGTAATACTCTTTCTACATTTAACCCTTCATTACGTGCTTCTTCAGCAACTCTTAGAACTGGGTTGCCTTCATCATCATCTAAATAAAGAGGTCTTATCCATTGATAAAGTTGGTTACCCTATGTATCATCATCTTCAGCAGCAATATCAAACACATCTAGTGGGTCGCCACGGTCGACATGATCTATTTCTGCTTCCTTATCTTGAATTTGAAGCTTCATGTTGTAGTAGCAATAAACTAATTTTTCCAACCCACTATGAGCCAACCTATTTCTTTGCTTTGTGTGAATGAGTGCAAATGTACTCCAATTTCTTTCACAAGCAGATGAGGAAGTTGTTTGTGATAATACTTTGATTGCTAACTTTCTCACAGTTGGTGCATCAGTCCCATACATGATCCACCATTTAACTATAATGAAAAATAATGTTGATAAGTCTAATAACTCCAACAAATTCTATTATAAATTGATAGTGAAATATGTTTACACTCACTAGGAGACATTTTTGTTCGAGCAGCAACTAATGTTGGTTCTCCAAAAGTTCTTCTTGCATCTTTAAACCATGTTAGCTGAATACAATAAATCGTGTTAGTGTAATCCAACAATGTGATTATTATAATTTAAGTAATTGTGTACCTCATTTCCAAATTGGCTAACTGCTGGTGATGCAGGGCCTAATTTAGAATATACTTTGTGTACAGCACGTATAAGGGTACCATCGTCTCCAACATTGAGTCTGTATTGGTATCGAGGATTCAAATATATGCTGGTCAAAGAAACATATAATATAATAAGAGAAATAATACTTATGCAATTAAAGAAATTAATTGCAAATTATGACATAATTTATACCTGCTACATGTAAATCGTGGTATAATGTTTTATATCATCGGTCATCAATTATCTTTATGACCCACCTTGCACCATGTTTTCTTTCCAATTCCTTCTTCACTACATCCATTAACTCATATATTGCCCCCATAGTAGGATACACATCTATGTCAACGATCCGTAAAACTTTGTAAAGAGGTTCAAACACTTGGCACACATGTTCTAATTGAGTCCAAAAAGAATGATCAAGCACTATACTTTCCACCATATGACCTGCATTTGAGGGGCTGAAATAGTGGTTGGCCTAATCTTCGCTAGTGAATAGTTGCTTCAACCCTGATTTCTTAAGTAGGCTGTCTAATGCAATATAGTTGGTGACGAATCGAGTGGTAGCTGGACGAATAATTTCTCCTTTGCAAAATTCACGCATCTTTGCCAACAACCAACCGTGATTGTAAATATAATTTGTGATTGTTCTAGCTCTTTTTATGACATTAGCAATATTCTCTCTCTTCCCCATTGCCTCAAACATTAGATCAATACAATGTGCTGCACATGATGTCCAAAATACATTATGATGCTTTATTAACTTTTTTCCGGCTTTGACAAATGCAAAACCGTTGTCGGTCACGACTTGGACAACATTATGCTCTCCCACCTCCATGATCACATCCCTCAATAGTTTGTAAATATACTTGTAGTTCTTTATATGGTCTGAAGCATCAACATACTTAAAAAAAATTGTCTTTCCCTTGGAGTATAGCATAAAGTTTATGATAGACAATCTGGTCGGGCCAGTCCATCCGTCACACATGATTGTGCAACCATTAGTTTTCCACTTTGACCTTAACTTGTTGACATACTCGCTAATGTCTTTATACTCGATTTCCAAATATTTGTTTCTTACCTCATAGGGAGTAGGAGGTTGTACTCCAACACTGGCCCGTTGACATCCCAATACCATATTTTTGAAATGATGTGATGATGCCTTCTCAGTAAGGACATTGTCATAGATAAAGAACTTGCTAATTAGATGCCTCATTCCCTCCTTCACATTACCTCCAGCGAAATAACTCCAAACACTCTTTTGGCGTGTTTTGGATGATTTATATAAACTTGGGGCCATTGGTGGTGTTGGTTGTGATTCTCTAACACTTGCTCCCCGTCTCATCTGTGCACCACCACTTGTCCCGGAAACTTGTGCTCTATTAGGAAGTTTGTGGAGGTGTTCTCTTTCCCATGTTGACTGTTTGGAGGCACGTAATGCTTGTTTGAAATTGTGTCGCTCTTCAAGTCCCATGTCATCATCACATTCATCCTCATCGTCATCATCATCACTGTCAACCACTTGGCCAATGACTTCTCCTCGTAGTCCAACTCGAATATTTTCCATTCCATGTGTTTTCTTTTCCTTCTGGTGTTGTTTATTTTTTAACAATGTGGTGATGAATGCCTTCACTTCTGGAGGGAACACTATCGCATCGTTGGACATTATTTCCTGGATCTAATCCACTAAGATGATACTTAAGTTGTGTCACTCCACCACTCTTTATTACCCGACCACAATATTTGCAAATTGAGCCATTTTTGTTTCCGTCTATTAGGTCTCCATGTTCCCAAGCTGGATCACGTTTAGTAACTCCACTAGACATTCTAAACGTACTTATATTTATTTGTCATAGAAATTAGGTAATTATTTTTGACCAAAAAATATAATAGTGACGGTTATATAAGAGAACCTAAATAATAAAGTTATTCTACGGAAGAATTAAATAGGAAGCAAAGAAAATGATTGTAGGAATTTAAGTAATATCGAAAATAATATGGAATAATAAAACCTAATAATGAATAATAATCCAATTCAGTAATAAAATAATAAATAACATTAAACATATTAAAATTATCCTAGGGAATAATTATACAACATTGCTTAATTACTTCAAAGAATTAACATGCAAGTATTATTTGGTTCTCATATCACATGCACCAGTTCACACAAATTTTTTGTTGTTGTATAAATTACAATAACATATATATATGTTTGTAAACTTACCTTAAATATGGAACCCTTTGTGTAAAGGCCAAATAGAATCTGCATGGACCAACAAGAAAACAATAATCAAACACGTGTAACAAAATGTGATGGAAGCATATAAAGTCTTTAATAATGAATTTAGAGACAATGAATACACATGTAAGTGACCAAATAATGAATAGAAAAATTAAAAACCACATGCCATTGACTAAGTAATTAATTGACACAATTTAAAATATAATACCACCAAAAATTTGGAATAGATAATAATAAACATGCAAATTAAATAACAATAATAAATGAGAATAACTTACTATAAACTTGCAGGGAAATTGAGGTTGATAGATGTTGAGAAAAATATGAGCATTATGTTTTGTTTTGGAGAGATGTTGAGAAATAAGGGATGGCATGTGACCATTTGATTTTATTTGTATATATAAAAATAGGATTACCTAACTAGATGTATAGAAATATGACTATAACTAATTAGTTAGGTGAGTGGTTGAATGGTGGGGTAAATAAGTAAATTGAAACGTGGTGAATAGTTGAAAAGTTGAAACTTGAAAAGCAGCTCGCAAGTATTATATATATAATAGATTACATAGTTTATAATCACAAAGTTATGACCAGCGTAGTGGTTAAGTGGCTGCAAATTTCAGAGTGGAGAGGGATTCGAACCCCACTGTATGCGAGAGCGTGAGTGAGTTTAAATTGTTTAATTTTTAAAAGTTCATATCGCGATATTATCGATAATATCACGACCACCACTTCCAAGAGCATCAATTACCTCAATGGGCTGTGGCATGCGAACTATCAGCCCAGCAGTAGGAGCATTTGATGTCATCAACAATTTTTCTATTTTAATTTTTCTTAGGTCATGTCCTTTATTTTTTGCGCGCATTTTTTTTTTATGTTTTATTTTAGGCTCTACTATTTTTATTAACTTCTTTATTTTTTTTTTCCACACCTTGAGGACAATATGTGTGATTTAAGTTTGGGGGTGGGAGAGTAAATTTTAGTTTTTTTTTTTTTTAATGTTTTGAGTCTGGCCTAAAATTTTCGTTTTAAGTTAATATCCATAGATTATTATAAACGTTAGAACAAATGGACATGGTGAAGATCAGTCCCACAGTAGAGTCTTTTCTATTTATTGTTGCTTAGACACTAATTCATGAATTATACTTTGAAATTGGCACCTCACACCAACATGGTTTGTGGGAGTGAGATTGAAATATTTACTTTTTGTCCAAGTGTGTTTTAGTTGTTGTTCTATAAAATAAAATTTAGAAAAAGAAAAGAGAGAGAGAGAGAGAGAGAGAGAGAGAGAGAGAGAGAGAGAGAGAGAGAGAGAGAGATTAGTATGTGCTATAAAGAAATAAATGCCTCAACTGAAGCTTTGCCTAGTAACCGGGCCAGTCCTACCTAATCAGCAGTGATTCTCGTGTCAAACGGTAAAGTTTTGGTATGGGATAAGGTGGTTAGTTGGTTTCGTAGCTCGAGTTAATAAGTCCTTCGAAGTGTTCTACACCTAGTGCCCTAAAGCCCGAGTGGTTTAGGAGACATTGACCTAAAGCTCACTACATGGGTTGGATCGAAAGCTTAAGTGAACCGACATTGCACGACCACCACTGTTATAAACAAATAAAAAATAAAATAAAAAGAAAAAAGAAAAAAAATTCAAAAAAGATATATAAAAAAATATATATAATGTGTGAAGTTAGTATGTGAAGTGTGAGTAAAAGGGATGAGAGGTAAGAGTTTTGGTCGAGTCTCCGTAATTATGATGGTTCACTTTACACCGAAGGAAGTTTGTGAATTCTTTTCTAATTGACTCTAAATGGCTTAGACTCTGTAGTGGGATTGGTTGGAACTTTTGAAAAGACGTTTTGGTTTTTAAACATTTTCTATGGATTACAACTTGAATGGAAATTTTGTTCAGCTAGGTTTTATTTAAAGTTTTTAGTTTGTTAGTTTTTGTGTTTGTTTTCTAGATTTGCTATGCGTGAGGACAAGCAAAAAGGTAAGTTTGGGGGTATTTTGATGGGTATATTTTATATTATATATTTAACCCCACTGTTAGTATATTTTGGTTAATATTTTGGAAGAATTTTGATACTTTGAATTATATTTCTAATATAGGACTTTGGACTTCCTCTGTAGCAAAACATAATCAAATGGATGAATTTTGGAGTAATTATAGTTGGAGGACGTTTGTGAGTCACTTAGTTTGATCATATCGAAATTTCAGATTTTTCTACCAAGCGGTTATCTTCTGGAAATAAAATAAAGGAGCAGTGTGCGGTGTTGGAATAGTGACGTTTTGAGATTTTATTGCATTTTGGAGCCCAAAATGACTTCGGATGGGTTCGTGGCATTCTGGAGAAATGGTCAGAATGTTTTTATCTTTCAAATAAGCTATCTTGGGCCTGATTTGGAGGAGATTTGATGCCAAAATGTGACTGGGCAGTTTAAATGCAGATTCTCCTAGTCCAATTTGGACCTTTTGTCCTAGTATTATTTTATTTTAATTAATTTCCTTGTGGGGATAGAAAAGCTGGACGGAGGCAGCTTATTTGTAGGGGGTATTTAAGTTGGTTTTCGCAGCAATATTTGGGACTTCTTTTTTCAGCTTTTGAACATGACATTGTGGAGAGCAATTGCTAAGGTTTTGGAGTTTTTGCAACTTTAAGGTGTTTTCATTCTTTTCCTTCTTAATAATATTTTCCATGATTTCAGTTATGAATATGTGTAACTAATTTTCTTTTGCTAGGGAGAAGCCTTGAACCTTAGCATGAATATATAATTTTTATTTAATTGATTATGATTGATTGCATGCATACTTTGAATTGTTAATCACTGTTTTAAACTATCTAATTGTCTTAATGCCTGATCACCATTAGGATCTTTAGAAAAGTAATTGGATGCAATTTTGGTCTGAAGGTTCCCTGAAATTGACGCTGGCTTTTTGTGATTAATAATTGTAATTTCACTTAAGATGAACACCACGTCTTAAAGGTTGCATGGGTTTTCAAAGGGTTTTCACAAAACATAATGAGTCTTTCATGTTCAGATTTGATCCGAACGTCCGGACGGGTTGCATGTTGGATCGTTCTATGTTGGAGGTTCCAAGTAGAATATAAATTAGGAAAACCTAAACTTCAAAGTAGCATGTGCAAATCATCAGTAATTGGTAAAAATTCATAGGATTGCTAGGTGATGGTGAAACCCTAGTGCTTTTATAAATTGGTATTTAAAACTCTTTCCTTCAATCGTAATTGTTTTTGTTTAAAATTTGTTTTTAGTATCAAACAATTTCATAATCATCTTTCTCAACTTTTAATTTTGGGTAGTTGATTGGAAATTGTTTTTACATAAATTGCTAAATAGTCCTTGAGGAGAATGACCTTGCATGAGCATCTATACTACAATAGCCTTCTATTCTTGCAAGTATTTTATGTGATTTTAACCTTATATGCATGGATGGTAAAAATCGTATCAACCATCAGTTGCCGCCTTTTGCTACTATAAATAGGAACCATTTCCTTAACTTGTTTTGACAGCATGCATGGTAGTGCATGATAGAAAGCAATAGAGAGAGGAAAGAAGAGGAAAATATTAGAAAGTGTAGAACAAGAAATTCGTTGAAAGAAACTCGACGTTTTTGGACTTACAACTGTGAGTTATACAATAGCTTTGGATTTGAGGTAGGGGTTTTTCTTGGGGAAGCTTTACATAAATTGATTTAATTAAGTATTGTATTATGCTTGGTAATATTATTTGATGAATATCCTTGATATTGGGTGTTTACATGTTGTCAATTATTATTATAATTTGATTAAAATTGACATGTTCGTATGTTGTCGGTGGTGGTTGGTATTCTTGGGTTGATAAAGAAATTATGGAAAAGAAGGTAATGGGAAGGATCTTGTGTAGTTGAGTCTGACCATTGTAGGGACCAAGTCCATGCGAGCTCGTGTGCACAATAGATTAGGAAATCGACGGTATAATTGTCGATTGGGTGATTTGGACTTGGAGATCAATGGTGTAGACAAGACGACTAGTAAAAGGAGAATTATGGGATAATTGAGATGGGTGTTAGTTTATATAATGGGGCATTAGGAAACACAGTGGTTAAATGCATGGTATGGGACATGCAGATTTGCTTACTCTATTATATAGATTAACGGGTTGAGAAAAAATTGAAGTTCATTCATGCATTGCATAAATTGTATATTATAAATCTCACTAATCACATAAGACATAGGGAGCATGTAGTGCTCACCCCTTATTGAATCTATTGCAAGTTTTGAATATGAAGTTTAGTTTGTGACGAGGAAACAAGAAGAACGAGTTGTGGATAGTTTTGAATGTTTTGTTGAAAGTTTGTTACTTTCTTGTTATTTTGCTTGTAAAATTACAATGTAAATTACTTTGGTTTAAATAGAAGTTTATGTTCAATCTTCATGTTTCTTGATATTTAAATTTTTAGTTTTAATTTTTCTTTTACCTCACACTCCAAAAAAAATTTGGGGTGTGACATTTACACAAAATATTCGAGAGGTGGAAGAGCTCAACCAATTGAGTTATACTCCACTAACCACGTTAGTATTTCTAAGTGTAAACATGTAAAATGAGTATGTGAGTTATGCTTCAATCCTGAGCAATTATTGAATACTAAAATTTTAATAATCATTGGAGTTTTTACCATAAGTTCAATATACACTATTGGTCAATTTTTATTTATTATTTAAAAAAAATTATACCTATGGTGACCATGGTAATCTAAATGGATTATCTATAATCATTATTCAATAATTTTTTGTTCTCATACACTATGTCATCATTGGGCTTGTGTCTTTGGCAAAAACTTTTTGTAAGCCCAACCCAATTACAAGCTAGGCATCATTCAATCCAACCTCTTTTTATTTTCTTTTTTCATTTATAGAGGGTTGTAGCGGTGAGTCACCCACGTGTGGAGGTGATTTCTATTCGTAAATGCATATAGTTCTCATAATGTAGCACACATACATCAATGGCCACCAATTAGTCATGCACCTAAAGTTCAACTAAATACATCTTATTGCTGGACTAAAAATCAATGATCGAAAACGTTCAACTTTTAAGTCATCATTCAAGGATAATCTATGCAACAAATTAGTTGAACCATGAAACTACTTATCCATATCTTCGTTTCAGTTTTATGTAAAGAATTGTGTTTATTTTGCACATTTTATATGACCAAACAACTTCAAACTCTTAAAGAATAACTTAAAATGTATATTGTTCTCATGTTTGAAATGTATTACTAAGTAATTCTAGAAAAAATGTGTGTACTTTTCTTACAATATGAACATTATTTATTAACATAGAAATTGAAATTGCATAATTCCAAAATTCACATATAATGTTTTTGCAATTGCGGGATCCTAAAATTGAAGCTCTTGGTCTATATTATTGTACATAAAAATTATAACAATTAACTCCAAGCTCAACTCACTAATTAAATTCGACCCTTATGACTTTCTTGAGCAGGAATCGATCTTTGCTTGCAATTTGTAAGCTCCTTCATCCATACACATATTCTATCACTCAAAGCAGGAGTCAATCTTTGCTTACAATTTGTAAGCTCATTCATCCATACACATATTCTATCACTCAAAACTCAAGATACACATTTTCTATGGAAAACAACATCGACATCGTAGTTGTCGAACGAGATACTACACATACTAAGTCAGATGTGTCGCAGGAAAGTGAAACGTGTGTGTTGGTCAATATGACACATCAATACTTGAAGCTGAAATTGAAAATAAATCCTCACACAACACGAGTCATAAATATCATATACATATAGTTTTTCAATCTATCTGGTCTAAATCTGGACCCCACACCACGAAAAAACAAAACCAAAAAGAAAAAGACAATCAAAATCAGAAAAAATTGGGAAAGGAAGGAAACAAATAGTTTTTGGCTTTTTCCCCTCTTCGCAAATATAATTTTGCTTGAGCTTGAGTTTTCTCTTTTGTCGAAAAAATAAAAGAAAAGGCCGAGTAAGGCCCAATACACTGCACGACAAACCCGCCATCTTTTCTTTTTTTTACCCGGTTCTAGCCGTCCGGTTTCAGCAGCGTCGTCATCGTCGCAACGCTATACGTTCCGACGACGTCGTAGACCGTGAGATTGATTCCCAGATTGGCTGAAGGAAAGGACTATCCTCAATCAGGTAAACGTAATTTTGACCCCTAATTTTCAATTCTCTGTTTCTTCCTTCATGTTTGTTTTGTGTTCTGTTTGCTTGCTGGGAAAGTGTGGGAAATGAAAATAAAATGTAATAAATCAAATTTTTTTTAAGAGAAAACATGAGTACTTGGATGGCAATAGATTTTTAAGAAAAGGGTTTTTTTTTTTTTTTTCCTAATTTAATGGTTCTGTGAAAGACTGAATCTTTGAACAAAAATTGGGTTTTGTTGCTCATAGGGTCCTATTGTTGGCAATTTAAATCTGAAGCACACCTTCTTGTGGGAGTGTTAAGTTTCTGAGTTGTATTGTATGAGAATTTGTTGTTCTCTAATGAACCAGACCAGAGGGTCTTCACTAAAAGTTTGATCTTAAATTTAACTCCCCAAAAAAAGAGTGGTGCTTGGTGATTGTTGGTAACTTAGTATGAACAAGTTGGGTCTAGATGGGTTACAAAATATCCAGTTTAGTCACTTTGGTTGGGTGTTCCATGTTAGAAGGGGCATTTTGATGCCCCGGAATAGTGAAAACCAGTTCACTGTTGTAAATATTGCATCCCTAAATTGAGGAGATTTGGTGAGGCGAATTTTGCAAGTTGTGGTACAACTACCCCTTTGAGCTGTTTGAGGAACCTTCATGTCAAAAGGCAATAGTAAAGATGATTTCAGCATATGCTTGCAAATTATATATCGATCCATAAGGGATTCTTATGCTTAGCCTATGCACATGACGTTTGAAAGTTCATATGTTCATTGGTCTACTTTTAAGGTTATGATATGGACTTTTCTTGCGTTATAGGAATAAACTATATGATTCATGAACCCAGAGGCCATTATCTTTTTTCTAAGTCTTGTGCTTTCTACTATTTCTCTTTCTTTTAATTTTATGTTCATATGTTTCAGAGTGCAAAGCATAGGCCCTAATCAAAGTTATACTCGACTTGTAATTAAAGAATGGCATGTTTAGTTCAACCTCCATTCATGATGTCTACCAATTCAGTTCCCAGAGTCCGCTCCCCAATGCAGAAGGTGTTGAAAACCTCACATGCAGTACATTTACACACTCTGTCTCACATTCGGATGAAACATTCCCCTGTTCGCTGCATAAAACTGACTCGCTGGGAGCCCTCGTCTGCCACATACACCCCCACCGAGAGTGCTGATGACAGCATCTTAAATAAAACCACCAACATATTTGAAACCCTTTCTTCAGTTAGCACTGATGAAGCACAAGAAACCAACAGTGAAAAGCGTATTGATGCAAGTAATCAGACAAGACCAGAGGTTCAGTTCCTCAAATGGCCAATGTGGCTCTTGGGCCCTTCTCTTCTCCTCATCACTGGCATGGTGCCAACTTTGTGGCTACCGCTATCGTCCATATTCCTTGGCCCCAACATAGCCAGCCTGCTTTCCTTGGTCGGACTTGATTGCATATTTAATCTTGGTGCAACCCTTTTTCTCCTCATGGCTGATTCTTGTGCTCGCCCCAAACTCCCAGAACAAGCCTGCAAAAGCAAGCCTCCCTTTAGCTACCAGTTTTGGAATATGGTTGCAACTGTGACTGGATTTATCATTCCCCTGATGATGGCTTTTGGATCCCAAAAGGGTTTCCTCCAACCCCAGCTGCCTTTGATCTCATTTTCAGTTCTATTGGGTCCCTACCTTCTGCTTATTTCAGTACAGATACTGACTGAGATGCTGACTTGGCATTGGCAGTCACCAGTTTGGCTGGTGACCCCTGTAGTGTACGAGGCTTACCGGCTGTTGCAGCTGATGAGGGGATTGAAGCTTGGAACTGAGCTCAGTGCACCCGCATGGATGATGCATACAATTAGGGGACTGGTGTCCTGGTGGGTGCTAATTCTTAGCATGCAGCTGATGAGAGTTGCTTGGTATGCAGGCTTTACTTCTCGAACTCGTCATCAGCAACAGCGGCCTTCTGATGATGACTAGTGATATATACCCTAGCTTGGAAAAGAAAAATGAAATCGACGCTGGCTTTAAATATTTGTTTTGTTTTATAGTTCAAGGAATATGTGGTTTAGTGAATCTATTATTTGCTTTGTTCATATCAACATGCACAGGTGATGTATCTATGAGCTACAAAGAACTGGCATGTCATGCAGTACAGGTCCTTTTTGTCTCAGTCTGTAAAGATCTCAATTTTCTTGTTGTGACCTTAAAGTGATCTTTAGCAATGCAACTGTACATTTATATTGTCTATGTGCATTATGTTATGTCCCCAGAAAAATAAATTTCAGCATGTAATATTTGCTAGAAGGAAACCTTAGGATTCTGTTTCTATGGGAAGAGTCTCTAGTGGCAAAGTCAACCAAATTTACTAGATCCCCGTACTTGAGTCATTGAATATGTCTTTATAAAACGTCACTTCCGCAAGCATCATCTGATAGCTTCTCTCCTTAGCTGCCGGAACTGAACAACCTACATTAATAAAAGGCATGAAATGAGCATGCCACCTAAGTTCGAATTCTCCTTATTATCGATTAAATTAATTTAATCTAATTGAAAATTCTCTTCATCGTAGATTATTTTAATTTAATCTAATTGGCTTTATTATAGCTGTCTCTTTTATATAAGGAGTTGTAGCTAAAGTGGTTCAAAGCATTAACCCAGAATGTTTCAAGTTTAAATTTCTCTCTCCGTTAATAAATAAATAAATAAAACATAATAAAATGAATGTAAAGAGTGAATTTTGGATGTAACCACAAAAACAATATTTTGTTAATGGAGGAATACCAAAAAGACAAATATAGCCTCCAACCTTCAATAGTAAACCGCTTGATACGAACCGAAGGAACGTCACAAACCAAAACCCGAGGCGAAAGAGAGACAAGGCAACAGTCCCACGTTGTTTCTTCGCATCTCTTTCTCTCC